TTGTGTCTGGATCATCTAGCATGCTTCATCTGTGTAGAACCACAACAGATCCTGGCATAATCCCCCCACAAAAAAAAAATGCAAAGCTCTTATCTGGACCAAACCTTCCTCATTCCCAACTCATCAGACTGATTGTGGTGCCGGTTAAAATATGCACCTGTGTTACATAAGTTATAGTTAGAGGAAGCACACACACATTCAGTAGTCCCCGTTCACAGGACATACAAACATCAAAAGTCATATGTTGGAAGACGTTTTCTCTATTTAGAATATGAAACTGAATTCCAGTTGCAGTTCATTGTGTCCAATATTTCCACAAATGTGAGTTCTTTCAGAGTCGGGTGGGTATTATTCAGATACTGAAGAGTGCCCTGTGCGTCGGCACCAGAAGCAGAGCGTAACACAGCATGGTCATTTAACGAGCCGGGCGTCAATTTGTCAAAACCTTTAGCTTTGAGAAAGTTCATATACAATCACTGTGATGGATGATTTTTGCTGTAAAACAAACTTAACAAAAATACTAGATACCAGTACATTTGATATCTCCAGGCTTCTTAAGATGGCCTCTTAATTTTAGATAAGATGATAAGAAGCTCCTGAAACCACCTTCAGCTATATTAACAACTCAAATTCATCCCCATAATGTTTCTTCTGTTGAAGTTACTGACATTCACATCTGGACACGGTGTTGGGGTAATGAATTATTTGTTTGTATTCCTACTGTCTTTGTCAAGTTGTCCTGATTTGTTTACCTCGCAGGTGAAAACTCATCAGACAGTCAGAAAAGACCGCCAAGTGGTCGCTGCACGGCATTTGCTCATTTCACACTGTCACTATGCACACACTGGAGCGTCGGCACGAGAACGATCCCGTGATAATGAGCTAATTATAGGTACAACATTCCTACTTCCACAGCTAAATGCTTGTCTCTAATAGGAAACATTTCAAATTATTGAGAGGCAGAGAGAGAAAGAGACGGATAATTGATGCAAGCAATTACAAGTTCTGTGTCGCAGCAAATTGGCCAGCATATCTGGACATGTAGGGGGACTGCGACCTCATTTACATCACAGTGTCAGGAAATAATTGGAGAATGTAGTGAGGAGGTGGGATTACGTAAGCAGTTAACTTGGACAGTGAGATTCCTCTCCGACAAGGAGCTTAAGGAAAATACTCTGCTCGCAGGTCAAGGACAAAATATGATGCGCTTCCCTGGTACGATTAAGCAAATTCAATCAAAAGTATATATCTTTTCTTTGGAGCAACAAAAAATACTTTATGCCATCAATCTGTTGCCAAAAGCTGTAACTTATCTATTTTAAATGAGTTCACCACATAAACGCAGGATTGTGAATAGCTCGTCATGTTTTCAGCAGAAAGTCAGTAATAACGGTGTTGCGTTTCACTAGTCATAAGAGAGACTTTGGCTGCGTTTGGGGTGAAACCGCTTCAAAAGCACATGAAGACGATGCGCTTGACTTTTAAAGATATCACTTCCAGATGTTTCATTACAAAACAACTTTCCAAGACCTCCCTTCAAGGAAACCTTCCAGTGCGAGAGGAGCCAGGACACACCAGTGTGGATTACAGGAACCCACAACTTTCACTTTTTCTTTTCAGTCGGGGTAAACCAATCCAAACTGTCCAAAACACCAATAGAGTTTTAATATTAGCGTTGCAACCAGTCTTGCTAAGCCTTCACACAAGTCATTACTCTTTGTTATAGGAAGTAATCCACATGATATACCATTAAAAAGATGTCGTCCAAAAGCCTTAGGCGCATCGCATGTGTTTCAATTCGACGTACTCAACAGGAAGCTATGGCTGACAATAAAAATGGCCACTGAAATAACTGGGTTACCTTCATTATAGCCTGCCTCTTGTGCCTCTCATCAGGCTGGCCAACATTGACTGGCGGGCTCTGACCCAACACTCCAGAGCTTCCCTCTAATGCACCCGCCTCTCATCAAGACCCTAGGGTGGAAAAAAAAGGAGTAACATGCTGTTTACTCGCAATCCGGGGCCCGTAATTGCCAATTTATTTGATAGGCAGCCGGGTAATGATGGCATTTCACCCCTTGCCGCAGAGACTAAACGGGAGTGATTCATCCCAAGCTCCCTGCCCAGCCTGATCCAGCAGACTCCCTCTGCTCAGTACTGCCGCCTGCCTGAATGCCTGCCACCCAGACTGACTGGGGCAGGGTGCGGTGGGGGGGATGTGGACGGCTTCAAACAAAACCAACCGCTTCAGAGCAAATGCGGCTAAGCCTGCCAATTTAGCTGGGGTTTGGGGTTGAGGCAAACGCAGCCGAGCTGATGTGCCATTTGTAGGCCTTAATGAGCTGGCAGGAAGGAGTGAGGAGGGAAGGCGGGCGGGAGAGAGGAGGCTGCCAGGCCTGACCTCCCCTGGCCTCCGTCTCCCTGCCAGCCAGTGCCAGGTCGGCAAACTGAGTTCATCTGCTTCCTGGGAGCGCGGGCGCTCTGTGAGGGGAGGGGAGTGCTACAGCAAATACTTTTAGCAAACTGTTGGGTCTAATGAACAGCCCGGGTCAAAGCTAGCTCCTGTCTCACACTGCTCCTTGCCACTAACGAGTGATTTCGATGTTTATCTTCGTTATTGCTCAGAGGGCGGAGCATTGACTACCGACCGCCATAGCAGAGCTATGGCTACAGCCTCCCGTTGGTCACCTTACATATCTACCTTCATATGTAAGTACAGAACCTGTATTATTTAACTACAAAAATAAAACATAACCAAAATCTCCATGCATGAGCAAAAGAAGTTTTGTCTTCTTTTTCCATACTCCTTTTTCTTGTTCCTCCTCCTTTCAGAGCTTTGCTACAAAAGCTACGACTTGCACCTCAGGCAATGTGTGAAGTGCTTTTTTACAGCACAGCTGAAGGGACTTGTTCAGAATTCTGCAGGGACCGGAGATGAAGCCCCACGTAGTGTGACCATCTGAGGTGACGTGGGGTCTAAAAGTCTGTCTTCATGCAGCCCAGCTTTCAGCAGCTCCTCTGAAGACATGCGGAGTCTCCTGTGGGGGGTTGACCAGACGATGCCGGAGAAGCAGAGTTCCTTCTATTCTCTAGTGTTGGGAGTGTCTGAGACTATAGAGAGGGCAACAGATGCTCCCCGAGAACAATGCACGAGCGGGGAAGCTTTCTGTCTGAGGAAACCTGAAATCCTCAAAACAACTTACGGAGACGGTTTGGAATCCAGGACAATGTTTCAATACGTAGTAAACACATTGGCCAGTGCTGCAAATTATGTTCATTTCAGGAACTGATTCCACACACAAGATTCAGACCAAAATAGGATGAATGAACAGTCTTTGTGAGAGTTACTAAACATAACCCAATGTAATTGTTTAAAGATGTTTCATTAGTGTGTAATAAGTCCAAGTGCAAAACATCAAGGCGATGTAATCTAAATGTAAGGACATGGTTGACCAAGGAGGCAAAGTTGGCAGGCTTTTATGATTTTGCATATTTAACATTGCCTCTAAAACTTGTATTAGAATAAAATAGGATATTTAGTGTTCAAGGCATCGAAGGAATTTGTGACAACTGCCATAAGACAATGAATATAATTTCCTTAATATGCAACAAGCATCATACAGAGCTATACTGTATTCCATGATGCTTTGACACTGCACCTAAGTTGAGATCATGACTCCGTTCACGAATCTGTGCGACTGTCACAGTGAAACGATGTGTCAAAGCTGTCTTTGTCTTGGTGTAGTGCTGCGCAGTCACAGTGCAGTTAGACAAGAATCAGCAAGAATCATTTCAATTTCTGTTGTCAACATCAAATTACTTACTTCATTTCATGCCTAGTCAAGCATCCTAAAGCTACACGCGGAATCCGTTTCGCTTCAGTCGTTGGGCCATGTCTTTCTCAAAGACTCAGCTGACAGCTTTAATTATGGCCAGATATCTCACAGTGGATTCTCCACACATATCAGCGGGGCTGGGTGTGTGGCGGCGAGGTTCCTTTCCAGCCCGCTCGCTTCAACGTCTCGGAATATTTCACAGGGCGCGGCGACATATAGCCGCTCTTTCTTCTGTCAGTTAATGCTAGCCTTCAGCTCCCCCTAAAAGCAACGAGGACGAGAGAGGGCAGCGTCTTGTGTGTGTGTGTGTGTGTGTGTGTGTGTGTGTATGTGTCTGTGTGTGTGTGCGTGCAGGACGTAAATAGTGCTCTTCACTTCAAGTACTCCAAAAATGCACTTAGGACTTCAGCAAAATAAACAGCAGATTAAATCCTGGCCAAATTGATTATATCAAATTCATAACTTACCTTTTTTCTGTGACGTAGCAAAGGCAATCATATAATGACGCTTGAATGATGGAACCGGACTAAAATCTATCTTAATGCAGAAAGAACTGACTAAGAATACCATATGTATTTTCTTAAGTTCTGAATGTTTTTACTGTGACAAGATGAATAGAAGTATCTGACGGCCCACATGATGCAGTTCCCTGTCATGGCCCAGGTTGTGACACAAGCAATTTATTTCAAGTGCCAACTTGTGGAAATTCTACTGTGGAATAATTCCAACCATTATATATCATTCATATGCAGAAGTTACTTGGTTGTCATCATAATCAGTCAGTTCTATCAAATTCTTTGTTACTTTCAACCTACAACAACTTCAGTCCATTCAACTTAATGTTGTGGAGGCTGCCAGAACTCTCTTTTCTATCTACTACTGTGTATTCTACACGTTTATACCTCTGTAAAGCTGTGAATCAAGGACAAGTGCACGGGCATGCAGGTGATGAGATATAATGGATAACTTCTGTCTGCAAGAAAAGTACTGCCGACATGCTATGTGGACTTTAACGGTCAGTAAATATTTGCTCACACCTCACACGTTTGCTTTTGTCTTTTGAATATATTTCAACGGCTGTTGAATGTTTTATGATTTGGGAGTTTGAAATGATGTGATGACTATGAGCAGAGTGAAGCAGTGATCCGATGGTCATGTACTCACATCTGTCAGTCTGTCTCTGGAGCTGCTCCTGACGGAAGGCTTGGACTCTCCGCTCACACTCTCGCTGTCGCTGCCTTTACAGTTGTTCTTCCCCGGCTTCAGCTGCAAACACGCCAAACACACAGGCCAAGGGTTAACGACATGAAGCAAAACTGTTAACACCGCACTTTAGAGCTCTACACGGATAGCGCTGGCTATGGGAAGGCGTCCCACAGAAATCGCCTCATGAATATGTGGGAGCTGGCAGGAGCGGCGGTGCTGTCTCTGTAAATCTGTCACATCTCTGAGCCTATTCAGCAGTCATCACTCCGCCTGCCAATGATAGACGCCATCTGATCTCGCAGTATGAGACTTCCCTCAGCCCACGAAATAGGGAACAGGCACAAAGACCCCTCCAGAAGCTTCAAATGGAGCCGCTATCCTCTCCAAGCAGACGCCGCATGCCGAGGCAGCAGGAGGTGTCACCCTCTAGACGGCCTGTTCGAGATGCAGCGAAATGACGAGAATAAAGGGAGGACGTGCCAATCCGCGAGCATCTGAGGCCCTTCAAAAATCTGAAGAACAATAAAAGACTCCGGGGAGAGCGGAGCGGAGTGGAAGGAGGTGGGGGCCGTCCTCGCCGTCCAAGTCTGCGATTGATGTCCTCTGAAGCTCCCATGCTGCTCCTTGCAGACCAGACAAACGCCGCAGGTTTCATTTCAAAGCGCATAAAAATATGCTTTATGGGATAGTGCAGTCAGCGGCTGCTGCCGCCAACTAATGGGAGAAGCAGAGCGTGGCACTGCAACACACAAAGGACTTGGACTCTCCTTTCCCCTACCTGTCCTGCTCTGAAGGCAAAGGGACAGTATATTTTATATTTTTTTATTATCTCTCCTTCAGAATTCTCTTTTCAGGTATCAGCCATCATTTAGTGCGATGAAAGGGCACAAGGTGTGGGAATACCAAAAGAACCCCCGAGTTCAGCGGGTAATTAAAATGAAAATGTTCCCTTTTCTGTAGCCATTAGCCGTGTGAAAGGTACCCCGTTCCTTGGGAGAATAGCGTGATGGGGGGAAGGCGGGTGCATTCGCCAGAGTGCCGAACGTGATAAGAGAGTTTGCGCGCGGCGAATGCCTGACGGGCCGCGTGTGCACTCCTCTGTGTGTGCGTCAGCGTGTGTGTATATGTGGCACAGACGCCTACACACCGATGCCCTGCGCTGTGATAGTACTAATTACCACCAACACATTTTATTCCCACAAACACCAGGGGCACATTTATCTCTTTTTCTGGTAAATGCCAGTTTGTCTGAGGGGAGTTTACATGTTTTGAGAGAGAAAAGAGGCAATAATATCTCATCCTGCCCGGCCTGTGAGTTGACCCTTAGAGAGGGCAAGGGACGCTGTTCAGGTCCCAGTCTGTGGCTTCTTCATCAAAACATGTTGACCTATAATATATAAACCTGCATGTGTCCCTGCCGACAACACAGGGCAGCCTAATCATGCATTTATGAATGTGCACACACACACACACACACACACACACACACACACACCTTCCTGAAGGCCGCTGCTGACTCTTGCATCAGATGTTCACAGCCCGAAACCAACTCGGTGCTTTTCGGCTTATGAAAAATATAATCGGGAACGTGTGGGAGAGATGTAGAGATTTGTCTTTTATTAATCAATGTGCTATCACTCCGACGCCGCAGCGGTGAGAGCACATAATCACATTGCCATATCCTGGCTTATCAGTGGGAAAGTACCCCCATGAAATCAGAAATCTTGCACAAATTTAAATCCATGTGTGATGTCTGCAGAACATGTCTAATAAAGACATTCCAATAAAGAGCGGCTCATCTTTCAGGGCTATTACATAGCTCGGGACCTGATTACACAGCCGTTTGAAAACGTATCCCTCAGCTTGTTCCCTTTAATTTTCCCTCGAGCCCCCTTAAATTACTTCAGAGAATTATGTGTGTGGGTTTTTTTTCTTTCTTCATCAGCTCTCCCCTTTCTGAGGTTCACATGATGGATTCATTTTGTTTTATGCGGTGATTAATAGCTTTCTAAAACAAAAGGAGGAAATGCTGGTGGTTGATGACAGAGATTCGTGCAGAGCCCCCATAGCTATTCGGCGCACACATGAACCGCAGGTTAATTAGTTACATTAACCACCGCAGTGTAATCTAAACTTTTCATTAAGTTTTCATTATTCAGTCAAATATGTCTCATAACGTTACTTTGTAAACAACAAATCTGTGTTTAAAGTGACACCAGGAGAATAAAGGTTTGCTTGGTTATTTAATGACGCCTTTGGGATCTGTTCAGTCAAAATATAGATTTTTGGGCCGTGGTTATATGAGTGATGGTGGTGCTCGGAGCAGAGAAGGCGCGCCGGGAACCGCAAGGCTGGTGGTTCGAACCCTGGCTGCTCCATGTGCCATGTCAAAGTGTCCCTGAGCAAGATGATAACCTTTGACTGGTACTGAACGGAACCATGATATGCTCACATAACAGGTAATTGGGTAAAATGTAGCTTTGGTGAGAAACAAGTTGTTTGAACAGCAACATCAATAGATTTTAGGGATAAACAATGAGCCCTTTAACGCTTCCTCTACACGTATAATACACATTTAAACTACAAAGATTTGTTTTCTTTCTCTGTGACCTCTGCTCCCACAATGCTGCGCTGATCACTCCTTCTTGTAACTGCACGCAGGTCATTTTTACAGCCTTTCAAACCGGTAACTAAACCCAGCGCACTCCATTGCATTCAGCGTAGATCTAACACAGATGGATGAGTCTTACTGATGCAATAGCATAAACACATTAATTAAGATGCAAGTTGAGGCATACGGATGCATTTATTTAACGACCTTACTGTATCTGTGCAGCAAGAGTAAGAAGTGGCCCTGAAGGAAGATGACAGACGGATGGTTTTAATATTCCAGAGGCTAATTTCACAACAATTAAAGACCCAGCGAGACATTAGAGGCTAATGAAACATTTAAACTACTAGTAAGTGCGTCTGCCATTCATTTGCACATAGTGAGGTCTGCAATCTGTTCTGTGTTAAGGGATAAAGTTTTTGTTTTTTTCCTCTTACCAGTTTGAATTTACTGAAGTAGAGAATCAACAACTGTTTTCAATTACCAGTCAGCGTGAGGCTTTGGAGGAGCAGCCGAACCTCAGCATGAAACAGTTAAACCCGCAAGTATGAAAATCATTTCTTTTGAATCCTTTACATAAACGCTTATGTTATTAGCAACTATTCAAACTTGCTGCCATACTCCATTTGCTTATTCCAATGGTGACAACTGAACGTTTCCAAACCATTTGTTTCTACCGAGGGGAAAATTGTTTCATTAAGTGGTGCATTGTCCGTGGGGAGTTTATGATTGCACTAGCGTTGTGTTATTTTCACCTAAGTGACTGCAGAAGTACGATTTGGCATTATAAAACGAAGCGGATGATGTTGTTCCAAAGCGAGTAATCACAGTTTATAGTAGTTCATTACAAATGTGGTGGTGGTCGATATTGGCAGCCTCAGGGCGTGCGTCCATATAGCGTTTGCTCTCCTGGTAGGCCGCTGGGGAGCGCTTTAACAACAACAATATCTTTCAACAATACATTTTAACACTCAAACCTCTATTGAATGTAAGAGTAGCACCGGCACTTGGTTTATTATGTTCTCTGGGCGTTTTCTTTCACGGTCACTAGCAGGTGGAGGCTGGCCCTCATACGCATGGGTGCGCACCTTCTTGTCGATCTTACAGCGGTGGTGCAAAACGAGGAAGAAGCCGTTGCATGACACAATCCACCAAACTGTACCAATTCCACCGCCCCGTTCAGGAGCTCATTTTAGACAGAGCTCAATTCACTTCATTGAAATCTCCTGCATATGGGGTGGGTGAAGGAACCAGTTAACACAATAAGACATTCTGGGTGTTAATATGTTCCTAAATGTAGCATTATTAACAATATCCCCCTAAATCATATTAGTTAGGTTATTCTTATATACTTTGCTAGCCAATTTTTCCCCTTAACACTGGTGGAAGATTGTTCTCCTGCAGATCTGCACGTCATTGTTGTTCCCAGTGATATTAGTATTTCAAACATAGCAGTAACATGTTGACTTGCAAAAAGGGTGCAAATACAACAGACCATTGTTGTCAACAACAGTCGAACGTAGTTCATCAAAGCAATTGTGTTGTCTCAAAAAACCATGCTGATGGGAATGATAGCCCACCCTATCCTCATAGATAATATAGAAACAAATGAGCTGTCGATGACTTCCTCTTCAAAGGTCTACTATGGATTTCCAATAATATGCCAGTATATTGCAATTGCTTGACTGGCCAACGCTTCAAATGTACATTCACCAAACACTCCCCACACTGCGGTATTTCTAGTCCTAGGATGCAAGAGGAATAGTGGTGAGGCTTTTCATGTCTATTGGGGGTCTGCTGACATAAACAAATTGCACCTGGGGACAGAAAGAGCAAAGGTGCTGCTGAATATGCTGCTGTCACAAATACCTTTGTCTACCAACGCGAGCAAGGCCTGCGTTTATATTACAAATAAATATGCCGCTCAAAAAGACTGAATCAATATGGAGTGTTTTGATTTGGGCACTGTTGTCCGAGGCAGCAGGAAGGTAATAGCATGCAGGGTACGCAGCACACGCTACAGCATATCCACCATGATGAGTGCAGGGAAATTATGAAACATCTTATTTAGCACTGAGAACTGCACTGGAACAGCTATTACAACATTGTCTTCAACATGTGGAGTCAATTATTTTCCCACTAACTGAAAAGTGCTCACCGTTGCCATAGTGGAATTTTACAAGTGTATTGACCTATTCTCAAGGGCAGCACTACAGACTCGATGCAATCAAGCACAAAAGTAGGCCTGCTAACATTTCTAACCACAAAGGCCTCTTTAAACAGAGCCATACACAACCGGCCTGCCCCGGCAACCCCACCCCCATCCTTCAAAAAGAAAAAAATAGGACAGGGAGAGAACTGGGCTCAGTTTTCTGTGCTGGCCTCGGAGGGATAGCTATCAGCTCCTGGTTCCCCTTAGTTACGCACAACAGCAGCTGCGGAGCTCGGC